AGGCACGTTTCAGGATTGTGGTTAATGGCACGTGGAAGCACGGGGCTTGTTGGCACTGCTGAGTTGTTAGGCCTGTGTCAGGAGGAACCCCTCACCCTCCATACCCCACCCCAGGGCCCGCTTAGAGGAAACTCCTGCCCTTGACTTGGACCCTCGTGCTCCCCTGACAGAGACAGGACTCTTCCATAGAGGTCAAGAGTGTAGGCCCTGGAGTTGGCAAACCTGGGCTCAGATCCCCACTCTATCCTGGCAGCTGAATTTTGCGTCACCTCTTTGAGTCTCTGCTTCCTTGGCTCTCAAACGGGGATAATAGCAGTACTTCATAGGGTTGTTGTGGGCATGCCTCCAACAATGCATGCAAACCTGGCACATGCTGAGCACTCTGAACGTCAGCTCTCGCATCGTGTCATACACCATCTCCCCCGGACCCCTGCTCCCCGCTGACCAAGCTCCCTTTTGTTTTCAAGGTCACCCTGCTTTCCTTTGCTGTGGAGTCAGAGTGTACCTTCCTTGACTACATCAAAGGAGGGTGAGCAGAGATGAAGCGGGCTTCGTCGGCCTCAGGGAGAGGGAAGGGGCCCCCCCACGCTTCGACATGACCAGCTCTGGCCCCACTAAGGCCCTGGCTGAAGCCTGTGATGCTCGGCTCTGAGCAAATCTGATATGTCTGGGCTGAGACAACTTGTCCAGAGCCCTGCACACCCTTGGATCCTGAACAGCTGCAGAGGGAGCTCCTGAGCCAAGGAGGCTGGCCTGGGTCACATCGGGTCCCCATGCAGACGTGGGACTTGGAGGTGGTAGGACCCTATGATGAAGAGAGCCAAGGGCTTGGGGAGGTGTAAAGAGCCCTGGATTAACAGTCAGGAGGCCCAGGCTCTAGGTTCCTCTTTGCCCTGAGTTTGCTGGGTTACTATGAGCAAGTCATTTTCCCTCCCTGGATATCAGTTTCCTGCTCTGTACACAAAGGGATTGAAATTGGTGAATTCTGTGTCTCCTTCCAGCTCTCAGAGTCTGATACCTTTGGTGGGGTGGGGATGCCAGTGATTAACCTGCTCACTGTTATTTGGGACCTATAAGGGGCAGTAAAATTGGGGGAAGAGCCAGGGGTAGTCCCCCAGCCAGCAGGGGATCAACGGGAGTTTGAGGAGCAGAAAGAACCTGAGGAGACTGTGTCCAGGCCAAGACAGGTAGGGAAGCCAGGAGGCTCCAGCCAACAGCTT